CCTCCTAAGAAATACGACACACCAAACAGAATGCATTCTTGACGGTCGACATTAACAATTAAAAAGTGTCTAATAAGTAGAAACTGAGTCCGTATGAATAATGTACCAATGCAAGAAAAGTCACCTCAAAAGAAATGAATTTTTAACAGCTGTACACATACTTATAACAACTGTTAAATTGTTTAAGCGATAACAACGTTTCGTTATATATAGACCCATCAAAGAAAGAAGCCGACAAAAAATGATTTTACTCACAATCTTAAAACAAATGTAAATGTATATATGAAAACTTCCGTATATAACAAATCAAGAAGATAGCACAAAAAAAATGATGTTATCGCGTCAGTTTAATCAAGTGTGAACTGTTATAATCAAACCTCCGATAATAAGACCATAAAAAAAGCACAAAAAACTATTGTTACTCCAAGCTTAAACTAATTGTAGAATGTATATATAAAACTTCCGATATACTACCAGTAAAGATAAAGCACTAAAAACATTGATTTTACGTCACATTAATCAATTACAATGCTATACATCGGCAAACTTCGTATATAACAATAATAAAATGTACAAAAAAAATGATTTATGTCAGACTATTAAATCAATGTAAACTGCTTATAATCAACTTCCGTATTATAACATTGCAAGAAAATGCACGAAAAAATGATTTGACGTCACATCTTTAATACAATGTAATTGCTACTATTATAAAACTTCCGCATATAACAATCGAAAGAAAAGCAACAAAAAAATAGATTTTACGTCAAACTTCCAGATTCAATTGTAAGATTTGCTGATAATTAAACTTCCGTATATAACGAAATGCAAGAAAGCACAAAAAATGATTTTACGCTCAACGATTTAAGAAGCAAGTGAATGTTATTATATACAAACGCCGGGTATATACAATCAAGACAACAGCAAAATGATTTTAGCGTCACAGTAATTCAATGTAAATTGTAACCAGGAGGCGTTGCATATACGTGTTCCGGTATCAGAACCAGGATGGAAATGAAAGTAAGCTGACGAAATAAATAGATTTTCAAGTGCAACATTAAGACAGATGTAAATTTAAAAGCCAGTACAACTCCGTAACGTGATAAACCATAAAGAGAAGGAGCACAAAAATGAATTTGTCGACGTCACATTTAATCAATGTAAATGTTATAATTTGATAAAACTCCGTATATACCCCAAAAAGCACAAAGACAATGATTTACGGTCCATTTGAACAATGTAAATGGTTAAATAAAACTTCCGTAATCCAATTCAATAAAAGCTACAAAAAAAGATTCTGTTACGTCACAATTTAATTCAATGTAAGTTATAATCAAATTCCGTAAAACCATAAAGAAAAGCACAAGAAAAATGATTTACGTCACATTTAAACAATCGTAAATTATACATCAAACTTCCGTATATAAACCAATAAAGAAATAGCACAAAAAAGATTTTACGGTCACAACATTAACAAGTATGTTATAATCAAACTTCCGTTATATAACCATAAGAGAAAGCACAAAAAATGATTTGTACGATCCATATTTAAACAAATGGTAATAATGTAAGATAAAAGCTTCCGTATATAACCATGGAAGAGAAAGCACAAAAAATTGGATTTGACGTCACGATTTAAACAATGTGAAAGTGTTATAATCAAAACTCCGTAATAACAATCAACGATAAGCGACAAAAAATGATTTTACGATCACCATTAAGTACAATTGGTATACTAGAGACTTAGAGCGATACTACGTGAAGCAAAACTGTCCCGTATAAAAACAATGCAAAGTCAAGAAACACACAACAAAAGGTATCTAGTACGCTCACGATTATAAGAGTGAAATTGTACAAGCGAAACTGGATTACCATTGTATAACAAATAAGAAAAGCCACAAAAAACATTGATTTTACGTCACATCTATAACACAGATGCTAACACGGTGCTTGAGATCAAGATCCTTCCGTAATTACAACGTCAACGAGCAAGCAGCAAAAAATGATTTTATATCCACATTGCAAGTTCAATGACTAATCAGTGCTAATATAGAGCGCAACATATTCAATACGCCTTTGCCGTGATATAAGCACGCAACGAAAAGGCACAAAAAATATTTTTATTCCGTTCCACAATTTAATACCAATTGTAAATATTCATAATACCTTCGATATATAACCAAATCAAAGAAAGATAAAAAAGCAAATTTCTCACATTAATGCAATGTAAATGTTATAAGACATCAAACCATTCACGATAAACACATAAAGAAGAAGCAACAAAAAATATTTTGTAACGGTCACATTTAACCACAATGTGAATATGTCTAATAAAACTGTTCCGTAACAAGCCATAAAGAAAAGAACACAATAAGATAGTATTTAAGCGTGTCACATTATAGTCAATGTAAATGTTATACATATAATACTCTCCGTATAGACCAAAACAACAGAAAGCGACAAAAAAATGATTTAACGTCACACGTTAAACAACGTAAATGTTATATGAATTGCAGACAGTATACTCCGTTATCAATGATCCAACAAATGAAAAGTGCACATAAAAAATGATTTGACGTCACCATTTGTAACAATGTAACTGCGTAAAATATCAACACTGCCGTATATAAGCAATCCCAAGACAAGAGCACAAAAATGAGTTGATCGTCTACATTTAAACGATGTAAATGTTATACATACTAAACTCTCGCAGTACATATATAAAACAGCAAAAGAAAAGCCACCAAAAATGATTTTACTGTCACATTTTAAACAATGTAAATGTATAATACGATAAAACGTCCGTATAATAACCAATAAATACAAACAACAAAATAATGTTTTACGTCCACATGTAAACCAATGTAAATGTTATACTAATAAAAATCCCGTATATAAACCATAAAGAAAACAAAAAACATGATTTACGTCACATCTAAACAAATGTAAAAGCAGAAATAGAAACTCTTCCGCTATATAAACCATAAAGACAAAGCACAAGCACAAATGATTTACGTCACATTTAACAATGGTAGAATGTTATAGATTCAACACAAGTTCCTCGTATATACACAAGTCAACGAAAAAGCACAAATGATTTACGTACCATTTAAACAAATAGTAAATTTATAATCAAAAGCTTCTCCGTAATATAACACATCAAGAATGCAACAAAAAAATGATTTACGTCAACATTAAACAATCGAAGATGTTATAGACGAAACTGTCCGTATAGACCAATTCAAGAAAGAAGCACAAAAAATGATTTAAAGTCACATTAATCAATGTAAATGTCTAGTATCAACCCTCCGTAATATAACAAAAGAAAAGGCAAAAAAAATATTATACTGTCACAGTTTAATAACAAGTATAATGTTATACATAAACTCTCCCGTATATAACCATAAGAGAAAAGCTACTAAAAAGATGAATGTTACGTTCAACATTAAAACAACTGTAAATGTCATAACAAACTTCCGTTATAACTGAAAGAATGAAGCACAAAAAATGTGATTTTATCGATCCACACCTTTAAAACACAATTTAAAGTTATACAGGACTTCCGTGTATATACAATCAAGAAACAGCACAGAAAAAGATTCTACGGGCCATTTAATGCTAGAGTGTAACATGCTATTATAATCAACTCCGTAATAGAACAATCCATAGAAAACAAAAAAAAGAATGAATGGTACGCCGTCACAGTCTTAAACAATGTAAAATGTGTATAGATCAAAACTTCAACGTATAGAAACCATAAAGAGAAAGGTCACAAAAGATGTTAAAACGTCACTATTAAACAAGTAAAATTGTATATAGTAAACACTTCCGTATTATAACCATAAAGAAAAACACAAAACAATGATTTTCGTCACATTTAAACAAGCTACAATCGTATAATCCAAACGCCGTATTAAACCAAGCTAAGAAAAGCAAAAAAATGATGTACGTCACACTTCTAAACAACGTTAAAGATTTAATAAATCGAACTTCCGTTAAACAATCAAGAAAAGCACGAAAGAAATCGATTTTACGTCACAATTTAATAATCGGTAAATGCTATAATCAAACTCCCGTAATAACAACAGAAACGCAAAAAAAAATGATTTAACGGGTCACAGCTTTGATACAAATGTACATGTTTTAAGTTGGTGATAAAAGCTCCTATCATAACTCAAAGAGAAAGCACAATAAACGATTGTTACTCAACATTAAAACAATGTAAAATGTTATATATCAAACTTCCGTATTAACCCTTAAAGAAAAGCACAAAAAATGTTTACGCTCACATTTAAACAAGAAATGTATACAATAAAACTCCGTATATAGACCCTACGAAGACAACACAAAAAATGATTTTTACGGTCCACTATTACAACAAGATAAAGTTATAATCAACTCCTCGTATAATATTACCAATAAGAAAAGAGCAACAGACAAAACATGATATTTTACGCTCACATTGTATACAATTGTAAAATTTAATGATCCGATATGCATCTGAAAACTTCTCCGCTATATAACCATACAACGAAAAGCACAACACATAGATTTTACGGTCACAAAATTTAAAACAATGAAAAGTTAATAATCAAAACCGTAAATACCAAATCAAGAAAAGCATATAAAAAAATGATTTAACGCTCACATTTAAACAAGTAAATGGCATAAATATCAATCTTCCGCTATATACCAAATCAAGAAAAAAGCACAAAAAATGCCTTTCGTCACAATTAATCAATGGTAATCTACTATATCAATCTTCCGTAGATAATCAATGACAC